TATTTATCATAAATCATTGATATACTCGATTCTGTATTTTAACAAAGCATGGATGTTTAACAAATCAAGAAGGAAATAGAGAGCACAAGAGCATGCGATACCTCAGAGAAAAGACAATTATTTAGTAACTTTTTTATTGCAGCAGAAGGCGCGTTAGAAGGGGGCGAGCCTTGGTTTCCAATTTGAATCTGCAACTTCCTTTGAATCTGTATAACAGACACAATATCAGAACATGAAAGTTCATTGGTGTTTTTTTGGTGAATTAATCACGTACCTGAAGTTGTTCGTGAAGCCGTTTTTGGAGGTCTATTGATAGTGATCATAATTTCATCAACATACACAAGCAAATAAATCATCTCCTGGAAAAATGGGTGCAACAGATAGAATGATAAACTTTATTCGGTGTCTTGCCAAATCATTGAGCTAGGCTATTGAAATAACTAAATCAAGCCCTAGAGATTGATTATATATGCAAGGAATAAACATTAATATGCCTAAACATTAGTGTTGTACCTAAATATGCCTAAACATAACTATTGGTGTCTTGTCTCATGAGCATCAAAATATTATAAGGATTATTAGAAGGCATATTTCATTGGTAACTAAATATTTAGTTACATTAGAAGACATTAGGCATTACTGTCATGCCTGCACCAACTATTTTTCTTATACATTGGAAAAGTATAGTCTCCTGCACCAAGCATTATCTATACAAATATAATATTTTTTATTACTAATAAATAAGGAAAAAATCATCTTCGAATAGGAAATATAGAAACCAATGCTAAGAGATGATCTAAGATACTTCAAATCACAATAGAAAAAAATACTGAGATTGATATTGAATAGACCTTATATCTTGGATGTTATTACTACATTTGATGCACTGATTTTTACTTATGCAAATAGAATTATATTTCCAACTAAACAAACAAAGATATATGGTTTTTGTCATCCATCACAGTACACCAAAAAGCATTATATGACAATTAGGATTTTGCTGATGTGTTGTATTGTAAAGCATCACACAAACAATATTGATTTTTCGAGATAAAATAAGATATTTACAGCCAAGTTCATAAACAGCTATACGAAAATAGAGTTTGATAGAGCACAGAAATAAACACCTTGTCCAGAGTCTCCCTTAGAGCATGTGCAGGCATGCCAACATATGGAATACATTCTTTGTCCCAAAAAATAAAACAATCCATTTTGTTGTCAAGACTCAATCTCAATTTTAATTTTATACCTAGTTGGATATTGAGAAATGGAAGGATACATAAGATATCTGAAAATTAATGTAAACATGGTATGATGATGTTGATAGAAATAAACATACTTGGTTATAGGTGCTGAAGGGCTATCACAACAATCACATAGGAATTTCATTCTAGGCTTCTTCTTCGTCTTCTTACAGCTAGGATATACTTCGTAGTACCATATAAATTTACTTGTCTTGAACCTCTTGGTTGTTCCAAGTGTGTTGACAAAAGTTTCCTTTAAGGTAGTTAACAATAAAAAGGATGTCATCATATGGAAATTGAATGAATGCAATGTAAGCAACATGGATAGAAGGTTAAAGAAGGATATATCTCACACTTTGAAGAGAAATCATATCCCTAATGGTCTTGAAATATTTCATAAAGGAGAAAGTGTTGTCTGCAAATGACCCTTGCGAAGCAGAAGCTTGTGAAAGGGATTGTTGTGAATTGACCTTGGATGAAACAATATCTCCTAATCTAAGGTTCAAAGCAAGAACATTACAGTTGTTAAATAATCAATTAAAATGAACCAAAGTATATAGTGTTATTGATAGAATGTATGTTTGTAAAATGAGATAGACGGGGTGACAAACTTTGCTACGAATTTTGTCACTTGAGGAAGGTTGTAATTGACAAGCAACTTAAAGTCATTCCATGCATTAGAGAGGTTCAGGTTTCCAGTGACTGAAAAGAATCAAAAGTAGATGTATTAATTATTAGGATATAATGGAGATAGCTCTAAAAATAGTCCATTGTAGTATATAATTACCCGAACTTAATCGAACCCAAGCATGTGTCAGAATGAAAATTGTAGGTTCAAATGAATGCTTATTGTTATCTTGTGTGTAGCCCTGAAATTGTGTTGCATAGGAATCTCATAGTGTAACACCTATTTCATTTCCACTGTAAAGGAAAAAATATAAAGGATTAGAGTTATTAACAAAATCAATTTAGAGTAGTGAAAATGCAATGTTTGGAGTCATACCACTCATCTGACAAGGCAATGTTGATGAAATACTTTTTGCCTCTCCCTCCAGTTTGTGATTTTACGACATCATGGAGAACCCCGGTGACATCTGTGCAATGACAAAAGCGAGTTGTGATACACATCAACTATGATAAAGCAAAAAGTTGCAGAAGAAGTGTTAGCAACAATACCGTATAACCGATCACTTTGAAAATTTCTAGTTAAGAAATCAACAATAGGCTTGAAAATGAACTTGTGCTGGGGTATATCAGGAATGTCTATCTTGGTGATAATGGTTCCATTAGTAAAAAACAACTTTAACGTATTATCACAAACCTTCAAAGGTAGATCGTTGTCTAAAGGTTCACCGTTATAAACAACATATGTATGATGTTCTTGGAACCTAGGTTTCCATTCTTCCATATTATGATTTTTAGTAATGACTTGAATTTGGTTGCCCTGGACATCAAAGTTTTAGTGAGCAAATTTATAACATGTTTCAGCATCAGAGACAAGAAATGTTCAAAACATAAAAGTTCACCTTGATGTCTTGTAAAATAGCTTCAAAATGCTCTGACCATTTTGTTCTTTCACGGTCCATAGGTCAACAACACGGACAACAAATACAGAAGTTCATGGCAAAACATCAGTGATGCAATTAATCGAATAGGTGGCGTGCGTGTTCATATTAGCTAGTGCTTATAACTAACAGTAAATTTTTTAAACAAAACAGAACATATAATTGTAACCAAACTCACGAATTTTTTTTAAACAGAACATAACATATAATAGAAATAGAAGATTGTTCATTTAAATACAACTCACGAAGAAATAAAAAAATATCAACATACCTTGTAACCAAACTCACACAAATGATGAATAACACATAAAATCCTTAAAATTATAAATACAAAGGATACAAACACTCACCTTGAATATAAAACCCTAGCTGTCACAAGATCTACTTTCCTTATCCATCGTATCATCTGCAGAAGCATAAGCAATATAAACCAATGTAAACAGAAGCAGAAGAAACATAAGCAATATAAACCCCAAAAAAAGTGAAGAAACCAACCAGAAGCTAGCAGAACCAGAAGTTAGCAGAACCAGAAGTGAAGAAACGAACCAGAAGTTTGATGATGTTTGTGGGGAGGAGGGAGCAATACAGTGGGTTTACAAGAAGTTTGATGGGTAAAAGTCAAAGTTCAGAAGTTTGAGGGAGAAAAGGGAAACAAAGCTTGACAGATGGCAAAAGATGAGGGGTTGTAAAGAGAAGAATATTGACAATTAGTTGTCTACCGTTTTGTCCAACTTGTAGTGTAAAAAATTTCAAAGGAAAGGGCATTGAGGTAATCTTGGTCAATTGATTTTTAAAGTGTTGTTAGTTGATTGGATTCTTTTGGATGTAGTTTAGTAGGGGTGGACAGATTCTGACCAACCGACCGAAAACCGAGTAAACCGCAAAATTTATTCGTGCTACGGGTGGGTCGGTTCGAGTTACGGGTTCAAAAATTGAAAAAAACAGTTAAATAAGAGTTTTGCCGATCGGATTCAATTTATAAAATGTCAACCACTATTATCCGTAACCGTCCGAGGTTTAACAATATATATATATATATATATATATATATATATATATATATATATATATATATATATATATATATATATATATATATATATATATATATATATATATATATATATATATATATATATATATATATATATATTAGCTTTAATTGATAGTAATTGATAATAGCTATTTATCCTAGCTTTTAATTAATATTTTTCTTCTTTACACACGTATGAATGCTCTGAACATTACTTTAATTGAATACTATTCCATATCAATTTAATATTTCACTTTAATATATATATATATATATATATATATATATATATATATATATATATATATATATATATATATATATATATATATATATATATATATATATATATATATATATATGTCTATATATATATATGTCTATGCTCTGAACATTACTTTAATTAAATACTATTCCATATCAATTTAATATTTCACTTCAATATATATATATATATATATATATATATATATATATATATATATATATATATATATATATATATATATATATATATATATATATATATATATATATATATATATATATATATATATATATATATATATATATATATATATATATATATATATATATATATATATATTAATTAATTATATGTCTTGTTGGATTTATTTTAAAAATTAAATTTTATTTTCTCTCTCATTTGTTTGCTGCTTCTTCTTCTTCTATTTTGCAGAGCTTTAGTTTTATACTCATCTTCACAAACTCATCTTTTCCACATATTTAGATTTTTCTTCATTACTTTTTTCATTAAACTCATCTTATTTTCACACCAGATCCCATCTTTACACTACATTTATTGGTCTTGATTCAAGTGTTATCAAAAATATTTGAAAATCAACTTCTGTAAAAAGTTTGCAAGAGAAATATCCATTTATAACCTGTGAAAATCAACATCCGTGAAATATCTCAATCACAAGAGAAAAATTTGCATTACTTTGAGTTTATAACCGAAACAATCCGTTTGATACACCCGTTTCTCCGTCAAACCCGAACCGACAATAACCGGAATAGATTCGGACGTAAATGGTTTCATTTTTAAGTTTTCAATTCTTTTTCGGATGACACTTTTTGGTCCGAAACCGACCGCATCCGGTGTCCACCCCTAGGGTTAGGTTTGCATTTTAGGGGAAGATGTCTCTGCGGATAAAGGCTGTGGTGGATAAATTTGTTGAGGAGTTGAAAGAAGCATTGGATGCTGATATTCAGGATAGGATCATGAAGGACAGAGAGATGCAAAGTTACATCCAAGAGCGTGAGCGCGAGGTTGCTGAGCGCGAAGCTGCTTGGAAGGCTGATCTTTCTCGTCGCGAGGTACCTACTTGGTTCATTCAAATTCGTAATTTCCTTTTGAAAAAGTTTATCTCCTCTTTAATATAGATGGAAAAAAGGAAGATAATAATGAAGTGCAAATGCCCTAATTTCATTTGTATAAGAACAAAATTTGGTACTCTAGTGGAATTAGTTGCCTTCTTGAATCTTGATATGTTTGAGATTAATTTGGTATTATGTATTTTGAGAGATTGTGAAAAGAGATTTGCGTTATAGAAAGGGGAATCCTGAGTTCTCATTCATTGTTGTTGTTCTTTTCTTTTCAATTCAATTTCTTTGCTTCCTAAAACTTCCACATATAATTTTAATATTTGATGTCATAGACTACTTGAAAAAGTTAAACTCAAATTATCCTGTTCCTGGTTCCGTAAGGTTATAGGACAATTTGAAATTATCAATTAGAAATACTATTGTTTATATATAGCTATATAATAATGTATGATTGATCAGATAGCTGTTTTTCCTACTTAAGTTTTAGATGTAGGACTCTGATTACGTTCCTTACAGTGCATGAATTGTGGTTTAAATCAGGAGGTAGTTTCGAAATCATAAAAAATAACAAATGGGAATGGCACTGTAATCATCTAATAATTAATAGTTTCACTTGTCTTTTGATTTGTGAGTATCAGTGTCTTTTGTATCTCCTCTTTAAATTTTCTCGGCTACTTGTGACATCCTTTGATCTTATGGATATCTTTAAAACGAGTAAGGTGAAAGGATAAAACAATATGGCAATGCCAATTTCACTTGTCTTTTGATTGGAATACTATGATGTGCTATGTAGCTATTACTGATATTTCATGTTGTCATGTTGAATATGTTTCTGAGTGACGGACACTTGTATGGAAGACATCAAGCACTTCGTTCCAGTTTCTAAATGTATTTTTTTTCCTTTAATTCATTAAGGACACGACTCCAACACCAAGCCAACACTTCCATACTGGCTACACTTTTTTGAAACACAACTGGTATGATATTTCCATTTAGTATTAATGATGCTGATGAAACTGGAGGGTAAAAGGTCTTTAAACTTATTAGATTCTTTTTAGCCTTTTGGTATTAGATGAATGAATTGAAAGGTAAAAGACACAGTTGAACGATCATTTAAAAAAAAAATGTAAAGAAACAAATTGGATAATGGTATAGGTTAGTATTTTTTGGCGATATTCTTTATCACTAGGAAATTGTAATACTTTCAGGTTCTTTCTTGTGATATGATAACGAATATAGATCTTTTATATATATTGCTCACATATTTAACTATAACTGGTGTCTATATTTTGGATATTAATAGTGTCGGTGTCTAGTGTCAATATTCGAGTCTGTCTATGCTTCATAGAATATGTGATGTATGGCTTATATTTAATTGAGAAGTTGCACAATTTTTTATTTCTGAATTGTGAGTTACTTTTTGAGTATCTTATCTTACCCTGCTGACCCTCCTTGACTTGAGGAATGATGGTATACTAGATGAGTTTCTTCTTTAGGTTAATGTTTAAGATCATCGGATTAATACAAGGCTTGGTACTGCTGATTTTGGTATTGATGCTTCTGAAATTTGAAGAAAAAGAGGTCTCTGTGCTCATTTTTTTCTTTCAATTTTGCAGGCAGAGATTGCCCGACAAGAAGCAAGGTTAAAGATGGAGAGAGATAATCTTGAGAAAGAGAAAAGTGTCTTAATGGGAACTGCATCAAATCAAGATAACCAAGATGGAGCTCTTGAAATTACAGTAAGTGGTGAAAAATACCGTTGCCTCAGATTCGCCAAGGCAAAGAAATAAGACTTTACCGGAGCTACATAAAGGAAAAAGTTCATTCCTCCCTTCCCCAAAAGAGGACTGTTCCTGCTTAGGACTGGTTTAGCACAAATAATGTACATCTAGGATCATTCATGTATTGACATTTAATTGTTTTATTGTGGTTTATTATTTTGCCAGATTTTAAAAAAGTGTTATTACTTGCTCAATTAATTTTTTTCACCAGTTTAATCTTTTGTAGAAAGTATGTAGTAGCATATCTTTATAACATACTCACAATACTCTTTGATTATGTGTAATAGTGAAGTTAAAGAATCCACAAGAATTGAGTAAAAAAATAAATCTACAAGAATTTGTAATGAGGTTCAGCATAATCATGATTGAGACCAGCCCTGAAAAGGGTGCAATTCTTTAATGGTGTCAACAATGGATTCAGGACTTAAAGTAGCATCAACTCTAAGTATTCCCTCAGATTCATCAATGTTAAGCAAATCTAACTGAGATTGCAGAAGAGATGCAGGCATATAATGTTTTCCTTCTGCAGCCCTCTTATTTACTCGAGCAATCAGCACTTCTGCAGGAACATCCAATAGAATGAAATTAACAGCACTTGTATAACCTTTCGATTTATAATCAGGATCACCTGATCTAAGTATTTCTCTATACTGTTTCTTCAAAGCAGAGCAGCCAAGAACCAAACCGTTTTTGTTAATTATGTATTCTTCAATTGTATCTTTCAGTGATTCAAGCCATGGTTTTCTGTCTTCATCCGTAAGTGGGATTCCCATGCTCATTTTTTCTGTTGTATTCAAAAAAATGAGATGGAAACAAATGAAAAAATAATCTAAAAATATGCAAATTTTGTGAACTACTCATGCGTGAATGCATGAATGTCAAACTGCAGGGAATCTATTAGAACAGAGAGAAACAATTACGTTTGTTTGATTGAGAATGAAAATCATCAGCATCAAGATATTTATAGTTAATCTCTTCTTCAAGCTTTTGCCCAATTGTGCTGTTCAATAGATGTCCAACACGTAAGTTTGGCAAAGAAAAACTTAACCAATCACTAATATCATTTAACAATGTTGAAATTTGGTTTGACATGTTTACTTCTCAACATATCATAAAACAGACTTTTTGGTATAAAACTGAATATCCTCGGGGCGCAATTGCATGCAGAGATTAATCCCTTGCCGGAGAGAATCACACTAGATTATAAAACTCTCCTTCAAGAGAATTAATCCTGCTGTGAACGGCTTCGAACCCAAGACCTATGTATAAACTAGATGCGACACTTACCATCTCTCTGGATCATCAAAATTTTAATTAAAAAAATATATACTCAAGAATCATCATCGTATTTTTTTCCACATAAAATGAGATATTCTCAATAACAAACTAATAGAAGCCATGAAAATAAACAACAAAAAGGAAGAAGTTATGATATATGAACGACAGTTACGTTTTTCCGGCTCCGCTGACACCCATAATGATGATAACAGCACCTGTTAAAACCATTGAGTTAATGAAATTTGCATACAAAAATGAATTATCAAGGAAGAGAAATACTAAAACATTTACCTTTTCTTGAAACCATGGGATGCAGAGAATAGATGCCGTATTATGTTTTTATCTTGTGAATTCAAGAAAGTTTAGAAAGAGAGCCTTAAGAATGAAAAAGCCAATGTTTAAGAGATAAAGACAAATGAATAGTATTTCATAGTCACAAATGCAATTATCTGAGTCAGGTTTCCGATATTTTGAAAACAACATATGCTAAAAAATTAAGAGTTGTGCGAGATGATAAGTGTTTTTGACGAAGTAGATTTTGTTTTGCTTAGTCACATCGATCTGTCTGACGTGATCCATATCGGTGCAATGGACGGAGAAATTCTCGTCAACTAACATAAATTAAGGTGTTTGTGTTAAGAATTTTATTTTTGTGTCATTTATGTAATAAATTAATGTCTTAAAATTATTGTTTAATTAGTCAAATTAAAATAACCTATTTAATATAAAGTTTATGATTATAAATATAATTGTCATAAAAAATATTGTGGAGATATCAAAAATTTTATTTTTATTTTTGATGGGTAAAATAAAAATAAAAAAATTAAAATAATAATAACCCTTTATTAAAGAACATAAGATTATAAACTTAAACAAACATAACTCCTCGTGAAAGAGTACGAGATTTCTTATAAATAAGGGGTTATGGTCCCCAATTGTAAACACAAAAAAATATTACAAAATATTTATTCTCTTTATCCCATTGAAAGACGAACTAAGGAATTAAAAAAAAAAGTCTACAATTGAAAGGTCATTGTTCTATCAAGATCATCATCTTATCGTTGAAATTATATGGATCGTAAAGGTACGCTTCTGCATTCTATTTTATCTTGAATTGAGTATTAATGTGTGTTAATTAATAGAATTTCAACAAGTGGTATCAGAGCCACTCATACTTGATTCATGTATAATTTTTGATAATTATTGAAATTAGAATTTCAAAATAGAATTTCATTATACAAAAGTAAACAATTGGTTTTGATTGAAATAATTAATTAGTTTATTATGTTTTTTTGTTCTGATTGAAATTGATTAATCACATCATTTCATTAACCTATGCACATGAAAGACATATAGTTTAATGTTACTGCAAACACAGAAAGTATTAGCCATTTGTACCGTTTCACGTAATTATTACAACGTTACGATAATTGCATTTTTTTTGTTTCATGCAAATTTGATTGTTTTTTTTTTCCTTTTCCTTCTTATAAACTAAAGAGACAGTGGGCATGTTGCGTTGGATTGTACGATGTCCCTCAAATTATTTGTCCATTGAATTTAGTATTTTTTTTATGTTCAAATTATTGATTATAATTTGTATTTTATATAATAATTTGACATTTTAAATGATTCTATTGAGACTAGAAATCACCAAAGTGACCCTTCTTTTATGAATTTGATCATGAGAAATGTTGAATGTTAGTGTCTATGTTTATACATGTGAGTATTAATTTTTCCAAAGAAAATGTTAATATTTGACAAAATTTATATATACACATTTTGATCGTACCTGACCAGAAGGGGATCGATGATTTGTCACGCGTCGCTGATCTGGAAGCTGCTCACCAAAGTGTCGAAGAGGAGGGGGTGTACCTGAAACACACTCCGATACCAAAGTAAGTGACGAGCAGAGCGGAAGCAAGTACAAAGAGAGAGAGTAAGAAGATTAAATTACTTGACCCTCTAGTGAAGAAGGTATTTATAGTGAGCCCCCAACGCAGGGCCAACGGTTACCTAGCACTGAGCTGGGTTACGTGGCGTCATGGAGACCAGCACGTGGTCTTCACCCTAGTGGAACTGCTCTGCACTATTCGGAAGGAGGAAGACCGAATCTCCCGGATGTGGATAGTTACTTCATGACGTGTTCCTGCGTGAGGAACACGTGGAGAACGTGGGGGAGGCCTTGAGGAGTCCCCGAGCAGACATGGTAGTCTGGTCGGACGTGAAGGTCTTGCCCGTCACTGGGGCAAAGAGGCCGGCTGGCCGGTCAAAAGGGTCCTGCTCGACAGCAATTGGTCTGTGCCCGACGGGGATGAAGGATATGCCCGACGGATCCTCGGGTCGCCAGCGTGGCTCAAATGGGGCCCAACCCCAGTGGGCTTTGGGCCTGCTAGGCAGTGGGCTAAGCGTCGGCCCAGTCCATAACAGTAGCCCCTCAAGCCGTTGGTCGTGGCGGGCGAGTAATGACTGAAGTAGAGTGGTGTCGAGCATATCGTTTTTCGGGACAGGATGCGAGGATGGTGTCGGACGCACCGCATTGTCGGGTAGGACCGCGGAGACAGTGTCGGGCGACAAGACCCGTCGGGCTAGACGAGCAAACGGTGTGACAAGCGCAAGGTCGACGGATAATATGAGGAGGCGCAAGGAAGATGAAGGGTCGCTACATGTCTTTTCATGACGGGTATGGGTTCGGTGGAAGAAAGAGCGACGGAGCTGATGAACAAGGGGAGCTGACGCACTCAAGGTCGGGCCCCTGCTGCTCGGAAGGATTTGGCCGTTGCTTCTCCAGATGCAACCTCGTCTTCGCAAGTGGCGGGGTGTTTCCCTTAAAAATCGGAAAACAACCGCTGATCTTCCAAATCTAACTTTGGTGACTCACAGGATCGATCAGATTGATCCTAGGACATGTGCTAAACAGTTTTCCTTGAACATTTATATAAGTTTTACACTCTTTGACAATATTTGGGGAGAAGGTTCTTTAAAGGCTATCTATTCGACTCTAGGAGAAAAACACATAAAGTTCTAACAAAGAAAAGATACAAGTTTTAAAAGAAAGAAGTTGAGGGTGAGGACAAAGTAAAAGAGGGAATAGAAAGGGGAGAAGGTTGCAAGAAAGATAAATAAGACTTTGTAAAATTAAACAAATGAAATAAACTTCATTGAAAAATAAAAGGTGGTGTGTTTACATCACGTACATTCTCTTCAATACTCTCTTTCTCTGCACTCGGATACTTGGAGTAAGACTAAGAGTGACTTGTACAATAGTAAAATTTCCACACACATTCTATGTCTAACACTTCCTATTTATAATAGCAAGAAATAACTACTAATAACTTCCCACATCACAATCTTTCGCCACTTGTCATGATGCATGGATCTGTTGTTCATAAGGAGCCATGTGTCCTCTTAGTCATCTAGCGAACGAAACTGTTCCCTCAAAGTTATTTGAATTTCAAATCTTTAGTAAAACCACCAAACAGTAACACGGTCGAAGCCTTTGTGGTTTCAAGTCTGGTAAGTGCTTCGACTACTCCCCTTAGCTGTCTCACATCCTTCGACCAACTCTCGCCTCCAACCAGCTTTTAGTGCTTCTCCTTAGATCTCTTTATTTTGCAAGACGCGTCTAATTTAAGAGCTAATAAATTGCCCCCCAAAAAATGTCTTTTCGATCCCTTATGTGGAAAAGCACATTTTTTTGACAGCATCTGATTTCGACGCCGTTTACTTTCCTCCTACGTGTCAGCCAATATCCTTTCAGCCAATGAATGTTTGGGAAGGTGAAAAGGGAAGAAAAAAGAAAATAGAAAAGAACACGCAAGAAACTGCTCCGCCACCTTGAGGCACGTTCCTGACGTCATGGTCATTATGGCGATTTTCTCGGGAACTACCAAAATCGTGAACCATCATCACCTTTTCAGCCTAGGGGATGTAAGTTGCAACTGCTACCCCTGTCACTCCACTTCAGACGCACACGTGGCCCACTAACTTCAGCCACTTAATGATGAAACTTTTGGTCTTCCATACTCTATATAAATGATTTTTCTCCAGTATTATCATTTTTCCCAACATTTTCAACTCTTAGCAAAATTCTTGCATTTTTCTTCCCCAAATTTCTCTTCTTCTTAAAAACTCCTTTGCTAATTTCAACCATGGCCGATCATCAAAAGAAGAAGACATAGCTCAAAGGGAAATCTTCCGCATCATCTCTCCCACCTTTTGCTAACTTAAGCGGTCCTAAAGTAGTGAAGAATCAGAAATTTGTTCGCGAATCTTTGTCAGAAGAAAAGTGTCACATCTATGAATCATAGGTAATCATCCCAGTTACTGTTGCAGGTAGATCCTTAGCAATGTCTGGCCTGTTGCCTCCTTTAGGTCTTGATTACTCTAGCATTAGCGACTTCTTTCCCACCTATAGACTCACCAAACCTTTAGAGCAAAAAGATTCTGGCAGAGTTCCCGCTGATGGTCTCGATAACCTAACTCTTTTCGACGTGGACCTTAGGTATCTCCACGATGGAGCCAGATTGTTTAGAGCCACCCCTTACTTCAAGGATTCTGAACTTTACCTCAATTGGTTGGAAAAAGTAGAAAAAGTGAAAGCTCAGGATTGGAAAGAAACTGGCATTTACGACCTTATAATGATGTCGAAGGTCGGCCCTACTTACTGTCCCCTTATGTTGGCTTCTTCTTTGTTTTTCTGGGACAACACCCATAACACTTTCCACCTTTCTTGTGGGATGATGACACCCACATTCTTTAATGTAGCTGCCATTGTGGGTCTAAAACCCCACAGACTTGTTTATTACCCTGAAGTTGATAGCCAAGACACTATAGGATTCACAAGCACAAAACATACTTACACGGCCTTCGTCCAACACTATCATAACAAAACCACCACTTCTGTCAAAAATGAGGAACATATAGCCTTCCTGGCCATGTGGTTATCTCGCTGCGTGTTTTGTACAAAATCTCTGCAGGTGGCACGGAAATATCTTGTTTTGGCGAACCAGCTGCACTTGAAGAGAGGTATCTGCCTGAGCGAGATGATTTTGGCCAGCCTCTATGAAGCCTTGGGCGAAGGCGCTGCCAAATTGAAGGACCCTGAAAGTCATGGCAACTTACTGTTATCAGGCCCTTTCTGGCTACTCTAGTTGTGGCTCAATGCCACTTTTGAACATTACCTACCCAACAAAGGAGAAGTCGACGAAGGTTCTCTTCAGTTTCTGAGAGACGAGTCGAATGACCCCACTTGGCCCAACTCACTCCAAGCGAAGAAGGACATACTTTTCGAGCCAACCTATCTAACTT